AGCGGTGCAATTATACGCAACAAATTTATCCAACTTTTTCCATCTTGTTATTTTCACTTCCTCGTCGGCAAACGCAGTTTAATCAGATGAAGGTAATCCGCATACCGCCCTTCCTGTTGCCTGAAGGTCAGTCTAACTTCTCTGAAACACGACCGCTGACGACGCCAGTGAGCTGCAGTCATTTTTTACTCCAACGTGACCTTCAGTTAACTTCCCTCACCGCTTCATCACGGCACATTGTCAAGGGGCCCCAGATGATTCACTGAGGCTTGTTCCTCAGCGGCGCATGAGGACTTTGATGGAGCAGACGTGAAGCGACGCAGGGGAAGAGAAGGAGGTGCGACAATGGGTAGAAAATTGGGGACAAAAGTGGGCTTTTTGTTGGTTCGCTGGAGATTAAAAGAGGCAAAGGAGCTAAACTGGGACAGAGGACAGAAGACAATGTGTGGAGATTAAGGGAAGGAGGGACAAAGAGGACAGGAGTACCACGGGACTGCTTTCTGTCAGATGCAATAAAGGCAAGGTGGAGCTGTCAGGAAGTAGGAGAGAGAGCCGAGGAGTTGTTTGCCATACTGAGCAGACTCACGACGCTTTGAAATATGCAGGAGAAACTCCATTTACAGACGTCACAGCAAAGAACAAAGCTGGCAAAAAACTCATCCAATGATTACCATAAATATTCAAAGGATAGACATTACGCTTGACCTTTGTTTCAAGGATGTCAAGATGATCAACAGATCAGATGCTAAGGGGAAAATAAATAAATAATTATAAAAAAAAAAAAAAAATCACAGCACAGACATCAGAATGCCTGTATTTCTGTCTAACATAAAAACAATACCCTGATGAAGACAGCAGACCCAATAGTCGATATTTTCAAGGGTTCCGAAATATTCAAGGTAAAACTCTTAACGGTCACCCAAAAAAACAAAACAAAAAAAAACACTTAGATGGAGGTCAATGGGTCGTGACTTGCATGTAATCGTCGTGTCCTTCTGATAGTTAAAGGCTTTTAAAAGCGACATTCTTAACTGTGTTTTTGCCTTTGCTATTAACACAATATAAATGTCATGTAGGTTTGAAAGTAATAAAGATACTAGTATCTCAACACAATGGAAGACACTGAATGAGAAAGTTCAGATGAAATATTTTCTGATTGATCTGTAAATAACTCAGTTTCTACCTTTTCCCAAGAGAATTAAAAATCTTGATACTTCTTCACACACTTGAGAAAACTTACTCGCTATGTTAGCTTCCTTTTTCTGTCACTGTGGACAGTTTAATGAGTCGACTTAATCAATTTCTCCTTCGCTTGTTTTTAGTTAAGTGCTCATACAAAGAACCCTCTTCGATAAAGGTAGATGGCTTAATTTCCTCAAAGTGGAGGATGTCTAACCCTCTGAGTATTTGCAGCAAAGTAAAACACAATTCCCCGAATCTTCACTGTGCAGAGGTCTGATTACCCACTTAGAGAGGATTACAGTCATTTCGCTGCCCATTTTGGTGCTCTTAGCCCCCTTTCAGAGGAGCAGCTGGGTTACAACAGGTCAAGCTTCTCTATTTGATGTTGAATTAGTAAATGCATTACAGGATATGCATACATACGTGATTTAGCCATCAAGAGATAATTAGTGGATCTCACTTTGCTACATAAACAAATGATATGTCCTTTTCTGGAAATGTGCAAAGTACACATGAATAAACCTTTTTCCAACTTAAATGAGACAAAAGTTAAATTAATAGAAGGTTATTTGGGGGTTGAATTTTTTTTTCCCCCACCCCGTTTTTCCCTTGGCAAAGAAAAGTGAGCCACTAGCTAGTACCTGCCCGTGGTTCCACGGTTCGATTGCCATTTTGGTCCATGAAGACAAATCGTCCGCCGGTGAAGTCTGAGCCGTAGTCAGACAGGTACAGGAGAGATGTGTAGTCGAACGAGCCATACGTCTCCTAAAAGACAGAGAGTTGAGGCAGGACTGTCCCCCCAAGCAGCTGAGCACATTTTCACAATCAGAATCAGCCTTTATTGACAACATCGGACATGAGTAGACAGATGCCATAGAACTCAAGTAGTGGAGTCTGAAGGTTGCAAATACACACCATGTTTGTTGAGGGAATTGCTTATTG